GAGCCAAGACCCTTTAATCTAATAACAAGTAGACTGGCCAATCGTAGAGAGGGGTGTGGAGTTGTAAAGAGGGTCTTGGAAACCCTCCAATCTCCAGTAGGCCTTGGGAGGCAACCAATGGGAGACTTGTCATGCATCCCTATGGACACGAGGGGTATATTAATAACTGGAAAAAACAGCTTGGCCTCTTTTCACCAGGATGGGGCCTCATGTGACGATTAATGGGTAACTATACATATAATCTTTCCCCCACTTAACTGTATGTCTGTTTGTCGGTTAGATACCAATGTCTGGGTATTTGGCATGTTTAAATCTTTTCTTTGTATGTTGTAGTTAAATAGATTGTTGGTTCATTGTATTTAAGTCTTGATACTATATACCAATAAATTCTGTTATAAATCTCGTGGCCCAACAAAGTACTGATGGGGTGGTCATAATAATCTGGCCACTCAGTGTATAAAAGGGAAAAGTCAGAAACTGTTACCATACAGAGTTTATGTCACAAAGTATAGGTAATATGTATATAGTTTTATTTCCTGAGTTTTAAATATTTCGCCTGAGCTTGTAGTGAAATAAAGTCTTTGTTGTGTTTATCACTGTGGAGGGGAGTGGCAGGCCCAATGAATTGCAAATAGGGCTGATAATCAGGTTTTTCCTGAGCCAAGACCCTTTAATCTAATAACAAGTAGACTGGCCAATCGTAGAGAGGGGTGTGGAGTTGTAAAGAGGGTCTTGGAAACCCTCCAATCTCCAGTAGGCCTTGGGAGGCAACCAATGGGAGACTTGTCATGCATCCCTATGGACACGAGGGGTATATTAATAACTGGAAAAAACAGCTTGGCCTCTTTTCACCAGGATGGGGCCTCATGTGACGATTAATGGGTAACTATACATATAATCTTTCCCCCACTTAACTGTATGTCTGTTTGTCGGTTAGATACCAATGTCTGGGTATTTGGCATGTTTAAATCTTTTCTTTGTATGTTGTAGTTAAATAGATTGTTGGTTCATTGTATTTAAGTCTTGATACTATATACCAATAAATTCTGTTATTGTGTTGAGCTCAAAAATCTCATGAATGAATCCTTAGAATCTCAAACCTGTAAGTGTGAATGCTTATATAGCGGTTCATAACTTAAAATAGTAATTCAGGTAACAGAATTGAAATGGTACATTTAAGAAGACTCTGTGCCCAGACCACTCATTTCAACAAAAACTTCCCATAAGATTATATGTGCATTTAACACATTTTTTTATTATTATACAGGATTTATAAAGCATCAACAGTTTGTGCAGCACTTTACAAAACTTGATGTATGTTATTTACCTGGAAAAGCCTCCCGTGTGTAGATATTTTAAATTTATTACAGGTATTTATATAGTGCCCGACAATTTACGCAGTGCTTTAGATTCAATAGCCCCAAGACTTCAGCTGGGTGCTGCCATCTTGGATGTGACATCAGCAGCCCCAGCAGTGTTACTCAGGTGGCTTTCTATAGTATTCCCTTTTACTCCTCCCCCGGCAGTTACATCAAAGGTTATGTAGGGAGGTGAAGGGATGGGCAGAGGAGCTAGGCCAGCACAGAGACTAACAAGACAATTCCAGGAGGAGAGAGGGCTATGACAAGCAAGGAGAGAGGAGGCTGTGCTAGGGAATTGACTTTTCCTGGAGTGTTCACATTTTCTAGCAAGTTCCAAGGCACATTACAAGTGAATAAAACTGATCAATAACTGTATGATCACAATACCACTGATTGCTTAGTTCCTGATAATCTCCCTCCAGAGAGCGGTGAGTATATGCCACTGCTCCAGGCATGGTTTCATACCTCCCCTCTCCGTTCCTCCAGAGCTGACTGGAGGGACAGTTGGAGAGGGGGTGGAACAGCTGGCATTACCTCTATAGAGGCAGAGCCAGCTGTCAATCAGATGGCGGAGGTGGTTCCGACAATATTGTCAGTATCTTTCCCGGCTGTGGCACGGCTCTGCAATGTCAGCATATAGCGGAAAATAGCCCGCTATATGCTGTGTTTTGGGTCACAGAAGGACATTACTATATGTGCTCCTGTGACCCCAAAGAGAACTATGACAAAAAAGGTTGGGCCATAGTTGTCCTTTAACCCTTTCGCTGCCAAGGACGTACGTCGTACGGAGCTACAAAAGTGCTTCCAGCTGGCCAGCTCAGTACGTCGTACGGACCTGGCATTTACAGTTCTACTATAAGCTGATGGTCGCTTTAGCGACCATCAGCTTATAGTAGAACTGTTCAGCAGACTGTCCCCTTTAAATTAATAGCTGTCATTAGCTGATGACCGCTAATTTTAAAAATACCAAATATCAATGATATTTAACGATCCCTCTGTGCAGAGCAAACACCGGAGTGATTGTCTGATCACTCCGGTGTTTGTAAATAACTGGGGACACATAGTACTGTGTCCCCAGTTATGAATGAACAGGCTGCGATCTACATCACAGCCTGTTCATTGAAGAATTTATGAATGGGGACTAGCACTCACTACAGAGGCTCCTCCCCATTCAGAAACTAATGATAGTAAAATATTTTTACTATCATTAGTTTGTGAATGAATGAGAAGCCTCTGTACTGAGGCTTCTCATTCATTGAGTGCTGGGGCTGCAGAAAAAGAAATTGAGGACTTATGTCCTCAATTTCTTTTTCTATTTCAAAAGGGAAATGTCAGGGGTCTATTTAGACCCCAGAGATTTCACTGTAGCCCCCCCAACAGTAAAAAAAATAAATACAAAATTATTAAAAAATAAATAAAAAATGTAAAAAAAAAATAAAATAAAAAAATGTGTACAAAAAAAATAATAAAAAAAAGCACAACCCCTCCCTCCCCCCACATAACATACACATATTGAGGTGTACGCCATGCACATGCGCTGCAGTGCGTTGTTAGAACGCATCGCAGTGCATGATTTTTTTAATGTATTTTTTTCTTTAAAAAAAAATTAAATTAACTGTGGCAGCGCATGGCAAAGCTTTGTGACGCATTGCCATGCGTTGTGATCTTTGTGTTGCAATAAATATACGCCTGTATCATTTTATCACAACACAAACACCAACACAGCGTGAAAACAATTTTTTAACATAAGTTCCTTTTTTACAGTTTTGCGTACCGTAATTTTTTTACCTTTTCGCAAAAAGGCGCAATTTTAAATTTGCAAATATTTGTTATTTATTAACTCAATACAGTTTTATCTTTTAGATTTAGTCAGAAAATTATTATTTTTTGTGCGCTGATACTGATTTTAGTGTGTTTTATCAATTGAATTGTGTATTTTTATCGGTTTAATATTAATTTGAGAAACATTTGCGCAATTATCGCACGGCCTACAAATTTAGTATCACCATCTTTTTATTCTACCGGGCCTGCGCTTTCAGAAAATATATGGTTTGGGGGGTCTTTTACAAACGCTAGCAACGCAGCAGTTGAAAATCAAATCAATGGGAAAAAATTGCAGAAAATTCAAAAATGGCTTGGCCAGCTGATTTGAAAAATGTTCCGGAGGGCTTGGCAGCGAAAGGGTTAAAATATTTGATATTTAAACTTGGTGACAAGGTCTCTTTAAGAGACATAAGACCCCAATGGATAAGTAAATCTAATCATTTAAAATAAAACACTTAACTCACCTTCTTCCAGGAGACCTTGAATTTGCTCATCCTTCTCTCTCATTATCTCCGCCGTTTCACTGGAGTTTAGCCGCGTGGCCAGCTCCTCCTTCACAGTTTTTACTTCCTGAGAATTCCATCAAACAACAAGTTTAAAATGCAAATCAAAAATTTGATCTCTTGCTACTGAGATTTTATCACTTGCTGGCTGTCAACTCATTTGTAGCCCACAAAAATCATTGTGCTCCCAATGATATGACTGTCAACAAGCATCTAAGCTGCTTATTGGAGAGAAATGAAAATTGGCATTGAGGCTCTTAGCATTGGTGTTCAGAGAACCCAAAATCAGCCTGGTCCACAACCCCAGAGGGAGAGAGGACATGTTTTTGCTTAGAGTCCATTCACTGAAGTTCTGTGCTAATATAATGGAAATCTGCACGCAATGTACATAAAGCCGTATTAGTCATTGAATACTTTCTTTTTTGCCAGCAGTTACCATTTATTTGGTTGATAACTCATATACCTTTTTTGCGGTATCTCGTTCTTTACATGCTAGCTGTGCCCTCCTCTCAGCTTCCGCAATTCGATGCGTGAACTCGTCTTTCAACAAGGAAATGCTGTGGCTTTCCTCCTTAACTCTGACCAGTTCACTGCAAGTCAAGATAAGGGAAGAAAATGAGTGAATTCCTGAATAGGTAAATTGGCAGTGTCTCTTTGAAGTCCAACAGTAGACAACCATATTTATTTGCAATGATCCACACACACATACCCCTATGCAGTCTTTCTTTGTTTTTTTTATACTTACCTTTTCCAGAAATCAAAGAAATTGTCTTTTTGGCCCCTGTAATGCCATTAAATGGGCTGTAAGATATTGATACAGGGCAACCTTTAGGATCCTTCCTTCCGACATAGGGCAGCCGCTGGACTACAACTGCCATGAGCCCCTTGTATATAGACAGTTGGTGGGTAGGCCCACTGGAACTATAGCCGTTGCTGTGAGCATTGAGGAGAACGCAGCAGCAGTCAGCAGTGACAACACTGACAGGCCACCTACTCAACATGTGTTTTAAAGCAGCACTGTAGTCCTTATGTCCATGATGTTGAGCAAGGTGACAATGCTGCAGTGATTTTACTGCAGGGTTTTTAGTATTGTCATCCTGTTCTAGAAAGAACTATCCACTGGCAGGATCACTACATATTTGTGTCAGAACATGATGCAGTTTTCTGTATTTTTTTTTAAGTCCAATTGAACTTTTAGGTTAAACCAGCTAAATACATTCTAGGTGCATTACAACAGCACACAACCTAAGTAGAAAAGCCTGTCCCCTGCCAGCATGCCGCAGGAAGGAACCATACTCTCTATGTTCAAGCAGTGGTCTGCAGAGGATGAATACACCCCTGTGAGTACAGTCTCCAATCAGCAGGAAGCTGACGGTCTGGCTCTCCAATCAGCAGGAAGCTCTCCAATCAGCAGGGAGCTGTAGGTTTGGCTCAGTAGGTGGGCATGTAATTGGAGCTCTCCAATCAGCAGGGAGCTGTAGGTCTGGCTCAGTAGGTGGGCATGTGAACCTCTGCAGAGAGACCACCAAAGGTCCTTCTCTGCAGCATGCTGATGGTAAAAGGCCTTTCTACACAGGCTGTGGCTGCTTTCTAAAGAACATGGACTGTTAGACATTGCACACTGTTTTCATGTACCTAGAATGGATTTAGCTGATTCGAACATAAAGTTCAGTTGGGCTGTTACATTGTCTCACCGAACATTAGGTCCATTTATAAAACTCTGTCATTCCTAAAGAACTTCTGCACAAAACTTTGCCCAAAATTGTTGGCTAATGAAACAAACTCATTTGTATCCTTTACGACTTTGTCCATCATATATTTTGTGATGCATTGCACAGATTTTAAAACAGTTGTGAGCACAAAACAAAGAGCAATATTCCCGACATTCACTCACTCTCTGAGATTGTCGAGTGTTTCTTCCAGAAGTGCTTTTTCTTTGCTGACGGATAACAGTTGTATCTCCCTCTTGTCCAGCCGCGTTGTAAGTTCATCGATGATCTAAAAAGGCACAAAGAATCGAGTTAAAAAAATTATTTTTTTTATAAACAGAACAATAAAAACATATTTAATTTTTTTTAAATTACGTTTATTAGTACGCACATAACAGATAAACAAAACCTAATATGAACAGAATTCAATGATTGAAGACATCATGTAAAAGTAGAATACAAATCAATTCCAGAAAATATACACTATGGCACGTACTTCAAAACAGAGAAAAAACCTGACCACGCCCACAAAAGAAAGCAGCGTACATAAATCATCCCAAGTCTCAGACGCTGCCCCACAACCATGACAGCACATAGGGGGGCTGCACCCAACAGTATTGGACATGGGAAGTTAAATTGATACCATGTTACACTCAGGGCCTCCCTACCCCAAGATGGTGACCCGATAGCAATAGTCAGATGTAAAAAACAGATTTTTTTTGTACTCGCTGTAAAAATAAAAAAATAATAATAATTCTTCGGTGGACACATAGGTCCAATAAACAGCATTGGTTCATTTTAAATTCAATTTACATTTAGGACAACTGTCCTAATACTAGCTTCATATATTTCCCTGCACAGCAAGGCTCATACTAGAGGAGAGAGCAGCAGCACTTGGAGCCAATCAGACAATACTGCAGTGCTATCGTTCTAATATTGCAAACATGCTTACTTGGGGAGGAGAGCACTTATAACTTTTGTCACTGCTTTTCATTGCCCAATCTGCTGGGTGGGGGTGCTTTCCTGACCATGTTGTGCTGCTCATCTGCACTGGATGTCAGGGACCTGGCTATGCAGTGTGGAAGGGTGCCACTAGTTAAATACAATTACAGGTTATGTCAACTGTGTATTATTCTGATTTCTTTTCATCATGAAATGCACAAACATATAAAAAGAAAAATATGAGTGCAACTTTTACTTGCAATAATTAGAACTCATAATGTGCGCACCAATTTCCCTCCATTTCTTGGAAATAATAACAGTGATTTGGTAAAAATCAGGGTCACCTGTTTTCCATAATCTTTCACAAATTCACTGCTGTAAATTCTATACAGAAAACGCTGCAGGCACTGCCCAGTAGACATCTGCATGCAAGGTCCCATCTGCTTGTAACTTCAACGTGGCAACCCAGTTATGTCACATCTCAGGACAAGCTTCAGGAAGCTGACAAATAACTATTAAACTGCGCACAGTAATACCGGCCGTACACAGATTCATTTCGCATCCATATATCTTTTTCTTTTGTTAGGGAATTTTTGATTACATATTGATTATTTTCCATCAAGGATGTCAGCAGTGTTCTGCTGGAATAGGGGCTCCTGTGGGGTGAAAAGGAGGTTTCTGATGTGAAGGAGGAAACTCCATGTCGTCTTTTTTTTTGTCTTGTTTTTGCCTAGACCCAAAAAACATTCTATATTTTCTGAAAGCAAAGCTCGTGTAGAATGAAATGGCGGCAGTTGCAAATTTTTACATCATGCGATATTAGCGCAACTCTTTAATCACACCCAAAAAGTTTGTGAAAAAATGCACTTAAGTTAATTTTTAGAGCTGCAGCTAACGATTATTTTCAAAATCGATTAGTTAGCCGATTATTAGGTTCGATTAATCGGTTAATCGGATAAACAAATAGTGCCCAAAAACACAGTATAATGCCCATTTTGTTTTTAAAATACAACAGATGATGTTATGACGAGTAAATAGATACCCAACATGTCCAGGTTAAAATTGTATGCGTCCGTGAAACGGCAAAAATACGGTACCCCAAATTCTCCATAGGTGACGCTTTAAAAGCCCCCACAGGTCATCAGTTTAGCGATACGGATAAATATTGGCCCTAGAATTATTGCTCTCACTCTGGCGTGCGTGGCCGATACCCAACATATGTAGCGCAATTGTCGCTTTCGTACGTAGGTGCACCTGACGCATGAAGTGATGCAATCAGCGTCGCTCCTGGTCCCATTCAGCAGGGAGGAGATCTGCAAACGGATGTTCGCTGGTCTTCTCCCCAGCTTCCCGCTGACACACGAGAAGCCGGTCGCGGCCACTCCCCCTGTAAAAATCAACAATGAAAAGTAGTTCCAAAATGTATGTGGAAAGAAAAAAAAGTTAGATTTTTACTCCCCTTACCCCCATCTTCTGACCTCAGTGCCCAAGCAATGATGACACCCCTTTATTTCCGGTGAGATCCTGGGAAATACAAAGCACCCGAATTCTTGCAGGAAGCTGCCCTTACAATGGATTGCAATGTCTTCTCACAAGATTTCACGTGCGCTGTATTCCCCAGGAATCTTCCCAGAAAGACGATGCAGAAGATGGGGTAATGTTAGTCTAACAGACATTTTTCTTTACAGGTTCATTTTGGAACTACTTATCCGGGCCCCGGATTTTATATGTGGACCTTGTATTGTACTTCAAGGTCTGTCATTTCTACCAGAAGAGTTATATTACCCTAGACCTTTCACCCAACTTCTAATTACACGTCATTCTGAAAAGCCAGTATTAAGAAACAAGAGTGGTGAAAACATTTGTGGGTTTAATACATTTTCTGCATACTAAGGGTTCGTTCACACCATAGGCAGTGCATTCGGGTCAGAATCGGACCGGAACGCACTGCCCGCATTGCACCCAGCTCACTTTTTTGACGGGCTGGAGGGGGAGTGGCGGGCCATTGAAGTGAATGGCACCGTAGCCACGCCCTGCGGCCGCAATGCGATTGCCCGCACGGGATCGCAGGGCACATTGTGCCAGCAGTGCTTTCCGGTGCGATCAAAATAGTGCTAGCAGCATTTTGATTGCACTGCAGGCACAATGTGCCTTGCGATCCCGTGTGGGCGATCGCATTGCGGCCGCAGGGCGTGGCTGAGGTGCCATTCACTTCAATGGCCCGCCACTCCCCTCCAGCACGGCAAAAAAGTGAGCTAGCCTCATTGCAGGCAGTGTGTTCCGGTACGATTCTCACCCGAACGCACTGCCTATGGTGTGAACGAACCCTCATTCTTCATTGTCTGCATACCAGGTAAGGGGCAAGAAAGGTTTGAGGTATGCAAGAAATTAGTCCCAATGGGCATTTGTCCCTAGTACAGGAAGACACATGCTGTAATAATAATCTAACAGAGGTTCTAACCCTTTCCATTTTACTGAGAAAAAGAAAAAAAAAAAAAAAAGGAGTGGACCTTACCCCTAAAACAAAAAATAAAATAAAAAAAGCTCCCATAAAAGAAGACGCTCACACACCTTAAAAGGCCTCATCTACACCTGCGATTAGAGCCCATTCTCAATTCCATTGACAGGAATCTATACTCAAAGTAAGAATCATTCCATACAACACACTTCTAGGTGTGTCAGATTCCTACAGCCCCCTCTGTGTTCGATAGTTATCACACAAACCTACATAACTATAGGACGTAGGTACTGGTTGGGGGGGCCCACAAAATGTGGTGGGAGGTACAGACAGTGTATCAGATATGAAGATCCTTTGCACATCAAAAGGAGAAAAGGTTCTAAGAACAGGCTGTGAGGCAGGTAGGAGTCATTCACTCCAGTGCCTAATCCAAATTCTAGCGAAAGGAATCTGTGGATTCCTGCAGCCAGAATGACAGTTTGGTGTGAATAGTTGCTGCTGATCAGCCTAAACAATGCAATGGCAGACTGACAGCGGCTGCAGCTTTTCGGATGTAATCAAACACCACCAATTACCTGTGGTTAGGTACAGATGATCATCGCTGAACGCAGTGAACAGATACAACCACCATCAGTCTGTCATTGCTTTGTACAGACTGATCAACAGCAGCAATTCACACCCACACCTGTCATTCTGGCTGCAGGAATCCACAGATACCTACCACTGGAATGTGAAATAGGCCCTAATGGCAGGTGTAAATAGAGCCTAACTGCCCCACAGCCTGTTCTTAGAACCTTCACTCCATTGCTCAGCAAAGGATCTTCATATCTGACACACTGCCTGCGTCTCTCACATTTTGTGTCCTCCCACCTGGCCGGAGCCTTCATCCTCTAACTATGCAGGTCGGCCAGATAACTACAGTTGCAGAGGGAGATGTAGCAACCCGACATGCCTGACGTCTATTGTATATAAAGCTCCTGCCTTACTTTGGAGTATAGGCTTCTACATTCTGTAATTCCTCCCTCTGCCATGCATCACTACAGGACAGAGGTACTAGTGGGAGGAACCAAAAAAATGCAGCAGGAGATTCAAGCATTCAAAACACTAGTGTAATGTGCAACGATCCTTCGGAAGGCATTACCCATGAATGTATTAAAGAGTCTACAAATGGGCGACGGGACAGCTGAGTCGGAAAAGTCTTCTTTGACAGAAGCATTTTTTTTTTGTTCTGCCTTTTTAGAGACAGGGTCACTTAAAAAAAAATAAAACGCACATGAGCTGGTATTTAAAGTGACATTAAACCCTCAGATTTTTGAACATAAAACAATAGTGTAATTTGTGCCTTACTGTAATCCATGGTAGTTTCCCTTCTCTTTGCTGCTCTTCCTTTTAAATCTGTATCTGTTCTCATGCTGGGCAGAACTTCTGTTTTGCAGCAGACTGCCTTGTCTCTGAAATGGATACATGGTGTCTGTGTGAAGGTTCACAACCTGAGCCAGCACTACAGGAAGAGGCACTCAGCTGCAAATGGAAGTTCTGCCCAGCATGAGACGAGATACGGATTTAAAAGGAAGAGCAGCAAAGAGAAGGGAAACTACCATGGATTACAGCAAGGTGCACATTACAGTATTGGCTTATGTTAAAAAATCTGAGGGTTTAATGTCACTTTAAGTGTTATTACCAGCAAACAGTACAGCACAACAACAACCTATTATTTTTGCTTTATTACCTTATGCATATCTTCCACAGAGTACTCAACCTTTGGCTTGCTGCTATTGTCTTGCAGCTCAGCTGACATTTTCTGCTCGGCTGCCTCTGTCTCATGTGCTTGGAGTGCGGTGACAAGGAGATCCGGCTGTTCTGAATTCACAGGAGTTGCACATCTTCCACTCTCCTCCATCTCTATATCATCACTAGAGTGCACAAGTACTGTTTCATTAACTTCCTCATCGGTTTTGCTCTCTGTGGAGTCGGTGACGTCCAGGCTCGGGGGGGAAGAGCTTACTGCCATGGCGACCAGTGTGCACCCTCTGCCCGACAGCTCGTCATCAGAGTTGATTTCGCTTATGCTGCGACTGTCCAGAGATTGCACGCTGAAAGAGTCTATTCTTTCAAAGGCGTCAGAGGAAGAACAACTCTCTGTGAGTTTCTGAAACTCATCCAAACGACCGTATTCAACCGAAGGAGATAAAAGCTGGAAGGAATTCTGCATTAAGTTGAGGTTGCCCTTGGAATCGCCCACCTCTTGCCTGGAGCTGACAGAGCTCTCGCTGATCACACTGTCATGGTCCAATACCTCAATGTCACTAGTTGTTGAGGTGCCGGAGGAGAAGTTGCTAACGGGGGGAGATGGAGTGTTGCTCTGCCTATCTTCAAGTTTTTGGTCTTTTAGATCTAATGCATTGTCCTTTGTTTCTGGTGAAGCCACTGAACTGTTAGGCTCCTCTCCCGTTTTGGGCTCCAAGTGATCTTTAACACTTTCAGGATCCCCACCAGAGTCCTGGTTGGTTATTTCAGGGTCACATTTCTCCTCTGATAAATCCTCTGACTTCACCAGTATCAAGTCCTCTATAGATAAGTCAACTTGTTCCAGACTTTGGGTTGGGCTTGTCTGTTGCGACCGCTCATTATCTGGAGCATTTTCCTGCCCGACTTTGTCTACAGGCTCGGGTGATGTCTGTTTTACCTCTTCTTTCGGTCTTTGAGATTTGGCGGGGGGTGTGGACACCACAGAACTAACCGTTCCCGGGTTAACCTCTGATGAGGTGAGAAAGGCACTGAAAAAATTCTCAGATTCATCCACTACAGTTCTTCTGACCGGCTTGGTGATGGCCGTCGGCGTCAAAACTACTTGTGTTTGGCTTTCTTCTAAATTTCCTCCCCAGTTAGAATTCTCCCAGCTCCCCTTAAGCGAATTGGTCCCTGAGCATAAAAAACAAACAAGTGTTAATACCTGTTAATCAGAGCGTGACTGTTTTATATGATGCCCTTTCACAGTAGAAAAAAAATGTACAGGTTTTATTTCTACTTTCTTGTTCTGCAATCACTATATCCTGGAATATACACCGACTCTTAAATATTAATGCACAGAATGTCTTCTGTTACAGAAATAGCCATGAAGGCAACCAATGCCCCCTAGTTATAAGATGCAAAGACTCTACAAAATATTAAAAATAGTTTGCATTATTAAGGTTCATTAGGAAATATAAAATAGCTCAAAAGTACACCCATATCCAACTTATAATGCACATCTAGTCTGCTTCAATAAACTAAAGCCTCATTCACTCTGGGCGCTGGCAGGGGGGTCGGCACTGTGTCCCCTCAGATCCCCACTGCCTCTGCCGATACAGGTGAGGGAGAGCAGCGGAGCCACACCGCTGGGCACCGACTGCAGGGGTCTGTGCCCCCTTTGATCCCTACTGGGAGAAACACTGGCTCCCAGCACAGAGAAGAGAAGCAGGGGAGCCAGACCAACTAATCGATAATCAGAATCGTTGACAACAATTCTGATTATCGATTAGTTGATTCAGCCCTAAGTGGTATCATTTAGAATTTGCGTTTACATGCAGTCAGATACATTTGAATTCTGTATATTCAGGATCCGATTAGAAACTTTAAATGTGGTTGGACAAAAGTAAACGCATGTAAACCCAATAAACATGGCTTCAAGCAGGAACATCTAAATGCAGGAAGAAATGATCTGAGAAGAATAAAAATTGTTTATACTTTCCAGATATCTTCTTCTAAAAGCTACATGCAGGAATGCCAGTGTGAATGAGGCCCAATAGATGATAAAACAGGATCAAGTGCCTCTTATTTATTTTTCCTGCAGAAAAAGTTCTTAGCCCAATTATGATAAAATATTAGAGAGCTAAAAACACATAAATATGTAATCGATATAACAACATAGCATTGGTCATGTGGTTCCCTTTAAAAAGGGGCAGATGCCAGCCAGTCACTATTTAGCCAGCTTTTTCTAGGGAAGACATTTATAATAGAAAGGAGAGATTGTATATTTTGTAATGTTAGGCCATGTCATGTCCTGCATTTTTCACCCTATTCATAAAATGCAGGTCGCAGTGCTTAAGGCCGCAAAGAGGAATGCGCGAGGAGAGGCTAATCAAATTACTTTGACAGCTCAAGTGACAGGGCTATCCTCTCAGGTTTTTGTAATGTCTTCCATTCAGAAGAACACAACATCCATGGCTTCGGTATATGTATGTGCATGCACCCTGACTGTGAGTAGGTGCACAAGCGTAGGTGCAGATAATGAGAAGCGATTTCTTTGCTACTTGTTTTTAAACTTTGGATTGTAGTTCCTAACTTCTAAAAAAGGACATAGTAACGGGCTACACCATTTACAAGTCTATTGAGATTGTTAACATGCGTTTCCCTGCTGCCTGTCTTTGTGAAAACTGATCTTGGAGACAGTGTGTCAAGTCAAACAGTTGACTGGGCAAGAACTATTAGACCTCGGGTGACCTCTGACCATCAAAGTGTCATCGAAAGTGCCAGGTTCAAACCAAATACAGCTAAATAAAGTGATTAATATCTTTCCTAAGTAAGTAAAGAAAAATGAGAATTTAACATGTACTGTATTTCTAGTGAAAACTTTAACATTAACTCTTATTTTCTTCTCCACTATTCTGGTGACAGCTGCAAAATTTTGGATATCTCATTTCTGTTTCTGTCTGAAAACGCGACAGAGGTTTTGGCATTTTTCTAACTGTACACTGACTGCTGCTGGGGCAAAGTAATTGTGTGTCATCTGTGGCCAACCAATGAAGCAGACAGAAAACGCTGAAGATGAAATAAAATGAAGTCAAGGGGCAGTGGGGACACTGCCTGACTGGAAAAGGGCTCTCTGGAAGGCAGGTCTGCAGGCTGATTTCGAAGATAATATTAACCCCCTAACACCCCCCTCTAACTGGTCACAGTCTTAAAAAAACCCTATCTACTTACCTAAAGCTACAGTCACATGACACTCCAGTACCAAGTCTTCTATCTTCCTTTGGTTACATTAAGTGTGGTTTCTTCTTCACGTGTCCACGTCACTGCCTGCAAGAAGAGGACATTTCCTATTGGCTGTCCAGCAGCAGAGTCCTTTAAAGGATCCAGAAGAGGAGTGACATCAAAGCAAGAGGACTGTTGTGGACCGACCAAGTCAGAATCATCTGCCTTGCTGGATCAGTGGTCCCCGACACCAAGAAAGGGCACGGGTGGGGAGTATACCTTGCTCCTCCAGGCAAAGAAAAAAAAATGGTTGGGGAAAAAGTGTGTGTGTGGGGGGGGGGGGGGGGTTTTTGTGAGGTTTTTGATGCCTTGCTGGATCAGTGGTCCCCGACACCAAGAAAGGGCACGGGTGGGGAGTATACCTTGCTCCGCCAGGAAAAGAAAAAAAAATGGTTGGGGAAAAAGTGTGTGTGTGGGGGGGGGGGAAGTGTATTGATAGGATCTTGGAACGGGATTTAAAAGTGGTAGTAAACCATCAACATTAGGGATGCACCGATACCGATTTTTCAGTATGAGTACCGATACTCAGGAAGCAGGGTCATTACTCGTTGCCCAGATTCCTCTGACCGGAAGTTCTGGTATCGGGTAAGGTATTGGAGCATTTAGGTGAGTAAGAGTACTCTCCCAAAATACTCGGTATCGGCACCAATACTAGTATCGGTCCATCCCTAATCAACATGGGAACAGAGGGCCCCCTGCCAGGAGGTGTTTGCCATAATGTGCTAGTATCCACAGCATTATGGCTGACTTACCTTGTAGGCGATCCCCCTCCAGCGCTGCAATGTCAGTGCTCTTTTCCACCACCGGAGCTTCTATCTTTATGCAGTCTTCTTCCAGGTTCAGCGTCTTTAGCCTTTCAATTGACCAGGCCGGGATGAGATAACTCCTATACATGCACATGGGAGTTACTTTATTTTGGCATGGGACCATTCCGAGCTTGTGCATTGACCTGCAGGTGCCTGTCCCAGTGCACACAATCGCTGACAGGCAGGGAGGAATGATTTATGATAGAAGGGACATAAAGAGTCTCTTCTTACATAAAAACCATATCTGTCAGTGTTTTTAATTTAATTTTACCTTTATTCCACTTGTATGCTGTACCTATTTCCACATTTTGGGAAGAGCTCTGGGGTCCCCAAAAAAGTACAGTTTAAAGATAGTAGCCAAAGGCCAACGGTGTCCTGTTCACTTTAATGCCCAGCTCCAGGGTTTTACAGTATTCCAAATTCTTGGCGATGGGCATGAGTCTCCATTTAGCACCTGCGTGTAGAACCCTCCCACAGGATGAGAAGGGTGAGCAGTCAGGAAAAGTACATTACAGTGCAGATGATTACATTTATGTAGCGCCAACATATTCCGCAGCGCTGTACAATCATTTAGACCAGACAAGAAACACTGACAAGCATCATTGACATACAGAAGCAGTAGGTGAGGAAGACCCTGCCCAGCAAAAATCAGGAAGCACATTATAATGTCCACATTGACAGGGAGTGAGGGAAGGGGCGCCAGCTAAGGCTGCCATGGTAACAGTATGTGGAAGAGATGGCCTACCTTCCTGGAAGGGCGTGATAATGGAGTCAGCCCAGGCAGTCTCGTCCTCCTTGATGTCCAGCACCCGGTCTATGGACTTCTGCGCCTGGGACAACGCCTGCTTGGCGAAGGTGGATAGATGCGAGGCGTTGAACCAGCTCATAGTGCCGGCCTGCCTCCCCTCCTGCTCCGCCACCTTCTCTCCCCGCTAGCCGACCCGCTTCCACTTCCCGAACACGTAGCAGTAAACAAATCCCGACTTGACGTCATCACACGGCGACACTGACAGACGTCCCTGCGGGAGCTCACGTGACTGCAGGGGGAGCCCGGCTGAGAACATGTGACCTGTCAGTGTCAGAGAGGATTCCAGGCTCTGTGCGAGTCTGCGCTGATGAGAAGTTGTCACTGCTGCTTTCTGTCAGCAGCCACTTGCCAAATGTGACACCGCAGAGGAGAGCTATTCATTAAACTCAATTTTTTCTTCTTTTAAAAGGAAATCTAATGAAACATGGCTGCCATCGCTGAGAATGCTAGTTTCCTAGCTGTCAGGCTGATCCCAAGACTTACCAGACTTGTGTATTGACCTTAGGGCTGCAACAACTAATCGACATAATCGATTATAATCGATTATTGAAAAAGTTGTGAACTTTTTCAATAATCGATTAATCACTCCTCTCCTGATAATACCAGCTCATTGGCTGCCATTGGCTTCAGTATTTTCAACAACATTGGATGGCAATGCAGAGATCAAGTTTTAACTTCACTAATCTGAATTCTTGTTCCAGGTTATATAGTCTCCAGGGGCAACCAAACAAAGTATATTTCCACTTTTGCAGCTGAATTGGTATAGCACCTGTTTTATATTTGTTACATGTTCCCATTTACATTGCATAAGCTTAAAAAAAAAAACAAAAAGCTTCTTATAGTTTAAAGAAGAACTCCGAGTAGAATAAAACGTAACCCTTGCAGTGGGGCTATCCCAGCGCAGCAAGGGTTAGGTGCTTGCTTTCATTTAGGGTCTAAAACAGGGCTAGCCAAACTCCGGCCTCCCCAGCTGTGGTGGAACTACAAATCCCATGAGGCATTGCAAGATTCTCACAGCCACGACTCCCGGAGAGAGATGCATCATGTGATTTGTAGTTTCCCCACAGCTGGAGGGCTGGAGTTTGGCTACCCCTGGTCTAAAACAACAAAGTAAAACTCACCTTGTCCCTGCTGCCTCTCTTTCCCCCCTCCGTTCCGAACATGGTGATGCCATGTGCCTTGGTGCCCTCATGGCTAATACGTTGTATTAGATGTGATAACAGTGGCGTCCCCAGTCGTGGTGTCACCCAGAACAGCCACCGGATGACACCCCGTTGGGATGTTATCGCTCATGCGCATGATGTAATCGCACACGTGCGTAATGAAGTAATGCGCACTTTGCTGGCGCCCATCTTGCCGCTGGGTCCCCTTCTCTCTCGTGCAACTGTCGGGCTCTCAGTCCATGACCGAGTGCCTGACTTTTCAGAGGAGGTAACATCAAAATGACGGTCACTCATTTTGGTGTCACATGGTGCGGACCGCACACCTCTTGTGAGGACACTGCGTGGTGACTCACGGGTCCTTAGACGGCCAGGGCAGAAGGGGAGAGGTTGTAGGGACCAATCTAGCAGCTGGGCAGGACTGAGGTTCAAGTGAGTATATCTTTATTATTTTAGACCCTGGACAAAAATGTGCACTTAACCCTTGCAGTATGGGGGTGGCCCCACACAAACATATAAAGAGGGTTTTCTCAAATTTGACTGCAAAAGTGGAAATACACTAAGTCCTCCAGCTGCAGTAAAACTACAAATCCTATCATGTCTCTGTAAGTCATGTCCGTGGTTGCCAGAGTCTTGCAATGCCTTTTGGGATTTTTAGTTTTACCATAGCTGGGTGAAACTACAAATCCCATTAGGCATTGCAAGAAACACAGCAATAATAATAAAACAAGAACCTCACACAGGTTCCAGGCACTCCTCACGTTACTAATACACTATAACAGGGCTCAAAATTTCAAGTCCTGAGCTACTAGCCAGGCCTTAAGAGTTACTCGCCACCAGTTACCCCACCTAACCCCAACCCTGCCTCGGCCTTAACTCCGCCCCTAAACCCACCCTCTTAAATTATCTTATGAAATTACACTTTTAAATGTTGAAGGCAGAATAAAGTTACAAAAATAAATATTAACAACAACAATATTAAGATAAAGCAATGTAAACATTGCGGCCCTCCACATCCCCACATATAAAATAAATACCGTCCCCCCTGTTCTCTGCCCCCCCACATAGAAAATAATACCCACCCCCTGTTCTCTGCCCCATGCGGTTATACTGGCCCCTTAGCGGCCACCCACGTGACATACATTGACACTCAGCAGGAGTCAAGGACACAGCCAGGATCCACAAGACACTAGGATTTTGTTGAAATTCCAGAAGAGTCACATGGAATCTGGGATGGTTGGAAGGTATGGCTTCATCCTACCTGGTGCAGCATTTTTTAGAACATAAAACAGGTACTTTTCTGATGCACACCATCCCAGGTACAGCACAATGTTCATACGCTTAGTACTCACTCCCTGCTTTGCTTGCAGACAAATGTAGTAGAGCCGCTTTAAAAAATAATGGCAGTGTATGGCTGTGCACAGGGCAGGGTCGGGAATATATCCATCACTGCTGGCATCTACCCAAGCCTTTATAGCTCCTCCGCTTGGCCTTTTAGAATTGTCAGTTACATTGGTTTTCATCTGTTTGCTGTTGATCGCCCACAAGTAACAAGACTGACATCCACCCCTTAACATCACCGCCTTCTGGTGGTGGACGTGCAAAGGCCTTTTTAAAGGCTGATGAGCACTTCTCAAACTTTTGACTAAGATTAATTGTAGTATCCACTGCAGCCCCTAGGGGTGTCACTGCTACCATGCTAGGACTGTTGAGAACCACTTGTATCTATCTAAGCCAGTGGTTCTCAACCTGTGGGTCGCGCGACCCAAAAAAGTGGGTCCCCACATGACTTGTGCTGCTCTAGGTAAGAGGCTCCTCAGGCTCCTCCTAGCGCAGCAGTGTCAGTTCTCCTAGATGGCGTTGCAGCAGCAGTGGCCAGAGAGGATCAGAGAGAGGGGAGCAGGCAGGAGTGAGGGGAGGTATTCTGACTCCGATCGTTGTGATAGCGAAATATATCCCTTGCTGAGACCTCTATGCCTGGCCTATATAAGCAGATATACTCACTGCGGACAATCCTCGTCAGATAGCTGAACTCGTCAATACCGATTCATTCAAAAGGAGGTGTTTATTCTTTAACATCAGGTTACAGCAGATGATAGGAACAGCAGATGAACGGTTGTAGTATTGTGCGGTCAGAAAATGATGCCTTTCCTCCGTACTGTGCAGATTACCTGTGTGTCCTTGTTACATGTGGCTTTCAACTGTGGCCATGACACAGGAAGTACTGCACACAGGAAGAAGGGTGGGGCTACATACAGAGAGGAAATACATCGTAGACATCACAAAGAATCACAGAAAAACATGTACATTACAACAAAAGGCCACTAGATGGCAGCATAGGATAACACATGAATTTAGCTATGAGAAAATAGTTAGGCAAATCACACTATATAAATTCTAACCTATATAACAATGCTAATATTAACTGAGGCTATGCCTCTCATATTCTATGCCCCTATTGGGGCGGCACAGGAGGTGAATGCTTGATCCCCACAGAGCCCGCACTGGGCGCCAAAAGAGAGTCCCACTAGCCATCTGAGAGCCCGCATAGCCTCCCGGGAGCCCACACAGATACTAGTACTGGTGCATCCCTAAATGTTACGGTTGGGGGTCACCATAACTTGGCAAATGTTACCAAGGGGTCCCGGCCTTAGAAAGGTTGAGAACCACTGATCTAAGCCCTTAGGTCCTCGTAGGGTACCCTTCACTCGACCCAGTCGGATCATTTTTTAAATTCAGCTTCACCTGTTTGCTGATGTAGGGTGTGAGGCTTAGCCCCCACGAGGAACAAGACTACAGTCCACCCAACCCATCTTACATTGCTCCTAAAGAAGCTGTAGATTGTGACGGGGAAACAAAATGAAAGGCTCTTTGTTGCTGTATCACCTGATTGCACTAGCACAACTATGAAATGGGGAAGAAGTGTTGCTTTGAATAGTGTGTGGTCTTTGTAGAATCACTCTCTCTATGGAAATAACCCCATATTTTTTCCCTCCTTATGGTATTCTCCACCTTGTGAAGGTGCAATGGCTTGCACGCTGAAATGACCTATAGGCCCTATGCCTGCAGGAGTCTATCATAGGTACTTTAAAACACACACAGGGACCATGGGGAAGAAAAGTAGCCATTCTCCAGAAGGAAGGACAGTGTTAGCACCAATTTAGAGATGGTCTGAGTGATACATAAAGTTACATTCTTGTTAGAGGAAAACTATGGGGTGAGTGAATTAGTTATCCCCATAGATAGAGCCAACCTATGACACACTGTCACACGTCGGCTCTATTGATGATGAAGTAAGCAAAAACATACCGTCGGTCCGCTTATTTCCCGATCATCTCCCTGCAGAGAGCACTGCTGAGTCAAACCTATCAGAAAAGCTCACATTCACTGTTGATTGAAGAGCTCTGATTCAGCATAAATCATGTCAAACGTTTGCACAGAGACCTCAAAAGCAAAGGTACATCTCTTCAGCAGGCTGGCAGAGGACAGGTTTTTCTACTCTGTGGCTACTTTCTATAGTAGAGCTGTGTAAAACTTAGAACTGGAGGGATCGAAATACAAATTGTTTGACTGGTAAAACAGCTTCCTTATATTCATTTCATTTCTATGTAACAGTTTACCTGGAACTCAGATGTGAACACTACGTTTCCATGTTTAATCACTTGTGTATCTTTAATGACACAGCCCGTTTGCCTAAAATGGGGGATTTTTTTTTTAGAAAGTATTAATAAAAATAATTATTATTATTATACAGGATTTATATAGCGGCAATAGTTTGCGCAGCACATTACAATATAAGGAAGACATTACAATTAAAATACCATTCAAGACAAGATGGTAAGGAGGACCCTGCCCCTGAGAGCTTAAGCAGCTAAAGTGCACCTGATATGCATGCATGAAAGCTGCCATTGGGTCAGATACATGTGTCAGAGACTGCAGTCTATCAATGCGCTAGGACTTTGTGTCATCAGGAATGCATGCCCTGTGAGCTTTGTAATGCTGTGTAGCTCTTAGTGGACCCCTAGCTCAAGTATATCTGCAGACAAAATGGCTTCTTCGCTGACAGGTACTCTTTTATTAGATCAAAATACTGTACATTGATGATGTTTCTAAAAGTCTATTTAAAATGCTCTTGAGGGGGGGACCTTTAAAATATTTTCCCTTTCATAAATAATTGTTCGGTGAGGGCTATAATACACGAGCATTTTCATTTAGCCATATAAACTGGGTTGGAAACCAAACGCATAACTAGGTGTCAGCCGGCCACAGATTTCTTTTCCAATTTGGTCATCCTGCACATCCATATCAGTATCTGCTACTCAGTCCTGCAAGTATTTCTAACTAAAAGTGTTTTCATGGAATCTCCTGCTTCAGCACAACTAGGTGGTAAAATGAAGTTTAAATAGGACAGTTTGAGGGGTCGTGACATCGGCAACCGCAAGCTCCTGTCCGTCAACAAGGCCGAGTTCTAGAAAGAGAATGAAGAAGCAAAATTTCATAAGGTTACATTTGTAATGAGAATACAGGTGTAAATAACCAAAATGCTACATGCGCTCCGATCAGATAATGTTGTACAGAAACACCTAAAGGTTTGTCCACATACACTAATAGACAAAATTTACTCTAGTAAGTGTCTGAAAGGGTTAGTCCGTCATGTCCTGATATTAATTTTTTTGGTAGATCCCGGATAGGTAGGCCTCATCCACATGGGTGGATGGGAGCCCTAGTTGTACAGATCGGGTCCAACCCAGGAAGCCAGAGGTGCTGCTTACTGCTCCCAAAGAAGTCAAGGGATATACAGAGCTCTACAACGGTAGTTGCATACAGCCGTATATGCATATGGACATAATCCCTGGACAGATTTTGTTTCCAGGGATTTACATGTATACGCATATACTGTATGGCTGTATGCTAATGCACTGTATTCTCACGTACAGTTATAGCACCTCTGGCTTCACAAAGTGGGGAAGTACACCCGATTTTTATACCAAGGACTCCAATGCGCCCGTGTGCATGAGGTCTTAACTAGGGATGTACCGATACCGGTATTTCGGTATCGAGTACCGATATATTTTTTTTCCGGTACTCGTCGATACCGAGTACCGGAAATCCCATTTAGGAAGTAAAAAGTAGGGATGCCCCGATACCAAGTACTGTACTCAGTACAGATACTTTTCAAGCTCCAATACTAGAGAAAAATTCAAAAGTTAGGTGGCCCCTGTCATTCGTAAGGAGCACACGGAGCTCCTGGGATTTGTGCATCTCTGTTTTAATGTATGATTTTGTTTTTATAAATAAAGGGATGCACCCTTCCATTTTTGCAGGTACAAGTACTGATACTTGTCCAAGTCCTCACAGATACAAGTACTGATACATTTTTATTTATTGTCATGTGACAGTTTTTCTAAAACAATACAGACTAATGATTTCAGGACAGTGGTGGAGCACCAGAGCCAGGTCCCAGCTGCAACCCTAGTAGTTCTCATGAAAATGCCAAGTATCGGTACTGGTATCTGAAAAGTATCGGTGCATCCCTAGTAAAATGGGGCCAGGATCCTAGTGTTTAGCTTTTACTTGCCCCAAAATGAGCAGAATATTTGTAGTCAATTACAAATTTACCTTGTAAAGTCTTGCAAAGATTGGACCTCGTCCTTTCTTCTATAGACGATACAGTCTGGGGAGAGAAAGAAAAGGTTAATAAAAAAATAAAGCGACATCTACAGTTTTTTCACAAGTAAACTTATAAATGTATCCCGTCCTAAATAGTATTAAAACCAACAATTTCACACATGGGATTCTGTGTGTAGTCCAATGAGATCTCCTTTTACAATCCTCTTACCTGTAAATAAAGAGTCTTATTCTTCCCTTCTAGTGTTGCTGTGATGGCAGGAGATTTCATCTGTCTGCATAAAAAAAAGATTAATCAGAGATCAGACACCTAAAATAAGTAGCTGATACTTATATAAATATACTACTTGGCATATGTGCAGAAAGGTCTGGGTGGGAAAAGGTCAAGGGTGGGGTGGGGTCATTTTTTTTCAATAGACTTCAAACTTTAAATCTAAACTTTATTCTGCCTTATATTTTGCTTTTCAATGGTTCCTCTTTTTTCCCCCTTTAACATACAAATTTAATTTTTAAATACTTTTTGACCAAGTGATATTAGAACTAGATCTCTGTACTCAAGGCATGCAAATCATGACTGGTGGGAGTGGCCGGCAGTGGGCAGTACGTAGTTCCCTGCCACAGTACTCCTCTCAAGAGTCTTCAGCCCTGATGCAAGCAGTGGGCTGGCTCTGGAAGTAGTTATGCAAATATCAAAATGCATTGATGGGTGGATGTCAATCTGGAGGAGAGGGTGCTCCTAGGCAGGCTGTATTTGCATGCAGACCACCTTAGGTAACACCTGCATGTGATGCTGAGCCTCTATGATTGAAAGATCCGAAGTCCAATATTTATTATTTAAAAGGGGCGGGCCAGGACTGTAAGGCTGGGAAGGAAACATCTAGATGATGCTGGATGTCTCCCACCCCGCAAATGAGGCGAGTTCTGAATTGCTGCATTGTCTAATGTACACTTGTGATACGCTTACACTGTGCAGTGAAATCAGAGTAAATCGATTTTAGTACAGAAGAGGAGCCTGAACAATTTTGCATGACTGGAGTTCAGCTTTAAGGTCCTGGTCACATTACCAGCACAATAGCGAGCCTGGAGTTATGTTAATATCAGAAAGATGCTTTGTGCTAACATTTGAGTACATGCTCACTTTAATGTTTAAGGCTGATGTTCCTTTGAATGAGCCACTTACAATGAGGTATCATTCGTTAAATAATCCAAAACTTCTTGCAGTTTAGCAGAGGATGGAAATTCAATGTTCTGAGGGAGCTGACTACAAGCCGGGCAATTATCCTGTCCCAAAACACAGAAAACAAGTTCAAATAATGTAAATAAAATGTGTGAATTAATGGTACATTAACGTCTACAAAAATATGACACTGTTCACCATTTTCTTTTAGGGCAGAGACAGTCCATAAAAGGTTGGCACATCATTAACTCTGGGCAATTTTTTTATTTATTAACCCTTGCAATTGGGCTACCCCCGCACTAGGTTAACCTCTTGCCGTCCGCCCGTAGTAAAAAAACGGACGGACGGCACTGCAGCATCTGCGGGTTGCCGTCTCCAGACGGCAATTTTTTTCTGCTCGCGCGCGCCCCCTAGCGGGCACGCACGGGCAGAAAAGACCCGCTAAATGCACACACCCGTTACCGGGTGTTTCACATATAGGCGATCGGCGGGTCCATAGCCCGCC